TATTTGCAATATTAAAAAAGAAGATTTAATAAGATACCAGTCCGTAGCCAGTAGCTTCAGTTCGAAGACTGGAACCTGACCAGAATATCTTCGGTCCTGTAAAACTTCCCTGCATAAGCATAAAAATGAAAACTGCAAGTACAACCAACTGGAAATAATACAAATAACTATAGGAACCAAAAAAGCAGGTGCTTTCAAATCTGGAAATAAAGCTATAAGACATTAGCTAAATTTAGCTGTCAACACGCAGCCAGCTCTTAATAGAAAATTAAAATGCCACCATTTATGTAGGTTGAACAGTGAAATTTTGGTAATTATACTGCAAGTTTGATATCCACTTTGAACCACTATTAGAATGGTAAGTTGGACCCCTTATCTCATCATCCATTTCATGACAAAGTAAAGAGGCCTCACACCTTGTATCACTCACTTGAGCACAAGAATTCTAAGAAAAGTAGCATGGTTAGCATTTTCCAAAAAATAATAAAGTCTGACCAGGCAGAAGCTAGCAAGGGACAATACAAACGTAATACTTATTACGTAAGAACTAAGAAGACATTTTTCCATTTGATACAAAGTACAAACTATAGCATAACAAAAGAAGCAATATGCATTTTGTCAATAATGAATGCCATTAGTACCTGAAAATGACCGGTGAGGCGTCTATAATGTCCAAAGAGATAACCCATTTCCCTTGGGCCGACACACATATCTTCTGTAGGAAGATCCTAGGGTGAAAATAATAAATAATAAATAAAAATCATATTTTAGCAGGTCCATATACATATGTACCATACGCACATTAAAACATTCTCTGCTCATATCATTCGCGATCGGCCTTATCAGGCCTAAAAAAGCTAACAACATATCCTGGGAAAGAAAAGTAGTTTGGGTTCTCTTTTGCAGGTAGAGTTGCAAGTTTGTAATGGAATATAACCACATGAATTAAATCCTGAAAGAAGACGACACAGATTTGGTTGTCAAATCCAGGTCTGTCAGCAAATAGCCCACAAGTGTGGAAAACGAGGGAAAATATGCATGCAAAGAATCGCGTCGACGAGGGGAGGCGGAGAGGGGGAGATCGAAACCAGAGAGAGAGAGAGAGAGAGAGGATCGCGAAAATTCCTCTTTGTTATCGGGTCGGGATTTGATAAATGACAAGTGTGTAAGCATGGATATAGGTAATGTGGCATCCACATCAGGGATATCGAGACACAGAATTATGGGATAAAAATGTCATCATAACAGTATGAGTGGTGAATGTCTAATAGTCCAGTATCTGTTAAACAATCATAGGATCTACCTCAGGGATATCGGGATATGGAAACATGGCATATAAATCTAACACTGGATTTTAAATCCAGGCCCAAATCCAAGTTCCCAAACACAAGATTTATCTTAGCTGATATGATGTGGTCTGCATTGTTATTTTTCAGCCTGTAAAAAGATAATGCTGTGGAAGTGCTTTTCATATCAGTTATCACGAGTACTTCTGCAATTCTTTAGTTGAGAATTGTTATGATTTAGTATAAATTTCACTTGAGAATTAAAAATTCTTTGAGTTTTGTTAGTGCTTGTCCTCCTTGTTTGCGGTGATTGAGTGATCTAGTAATCCCCAGCTCTGCTGATAACTAACAACCATTATTTTAGAGGATTAATTTGACATATCTTCTTTTTTTCTTTTTTCATTTAGTTGTGCAATATATTTTTTTATATACAAATGGAAATTACTATGTTTTGTAATTCTTAATAAACTGATAATTTTTTAATTTAATTTTCAATTATTTCCTTTGTTTCTGGTTTTCAGTTTTTCTGCCCACAGATTAAACTTCTTTAACAATGCTTTACTCCAAATGTAGTCCTGTAGAAATCAAGTGGTTAAGTTTGAGTTTGTTGGAGTTCAAATAAAGTACATGATTTGAGATTGTACAATTATATAATTAATTGGGGATTGCTCAATTATATGAGTGATTGGGGTTGTTGACTCAAAATTAGTAATTGGGTGGAGCAGTCTATTGTAATATTTATGAACGCCTTATTCTTTTTCCAACTAGCAACTTTTTGCTATGATTGTTGTCGGAAACCAATCAAGTGGTTAAGTTTGAGTTTGTTGGAGTTCATAATTAGTAATTGGTTTCCGACAACAATCATAGCAAAAAGTTGCTAGTTGGAAAAAGAATAAGGCGTTCATAAATATTACAATAGACTGCTCCACCCAATTACTAATTTTGAGTCAACAACCCCAATCACTCATATAATTGAGCAATCCCCAATTAATTATATAATTGTACAATCTCAAATCATGTACTTTATTTGAACTCCAACAAACTCAAACTTAACCACTTGATTTCTACAGGACTACATTTGGAGTAAAGCATTGTTAAAGAAGTTTAATCTGTGGGCAGAAAACCAGAAACAAAGGAAATAATTGAAAATTAAATTAAAAAATTATCAGTTTATTAAGAATTACAAAACATAGTAATTTCCATTTGTATATAAAAAAATATATTGCACAACTAAATAAAAAAAGAAGATATGTCAAATTAATCCTCTAAAATAATGGTTGTTAGTTATCAGCAGAGCTGGGGATTACTAGAGCACTCAATCACCGCAAACAAGGAGGACAAGCACCAACAAAACTCAAAGAATTTTTAATTCTCAAGTGAAATTTATACTAAATCATAACAATTCTCAACTGAAGAATTGCAGAAGTACTCGTGATAACTGATATGAAAAGCACTTCCACAGCATTATCTTTTTACAGGCTGAAAAATAACAATGCAAACCACATCATATCAGCTAAGATAAATCTTGTGTTTGGGAACTTGGATTTGGGCCTGGATTTAAAATCCAGGGTATTTCAAATCCAAATATCTAGTTTGGGTTCTGATTTAAACCTAGATTTTAAATCAATCCCGATCCTCTCTCTCTCTGGTTTCGCTCACAGGTAAAGTCTCTCTCTCCACCTCCCCCCGCCGCCGCCTCTCCCCCTGCCCCTTCCCCCTGCCTCTCCCCCTACAGTCGAAACCCTAGATCTGATCTAGGGTTTATATTGTGTTAATGTTGGATTCATGTTACATAACTTGCTTATTTTCTTTTTTCAGGTTTTGGGAGCTGAAACCCTGTCGTGCATTTGGGTGAGTTCTCTTTTGCTTGCAAACCTCTGATTTATCTTGAATTTTTGTTTCGTTAAGGCTCATTGATGTTTGTTACTTGAAGTTACAACATATGTACGCAGATTCCATAATCAGTTTCGTTAAGGCTCATTTTCGTTAAGGCTCATTTTCGTTAAGTCTCATTTCTCATTGCTGTTTGTTACTTGAAGTTACAACATATGTTTCGTTAAGGCTCATTACTGTTTATTTCATATTAATGGGTCACCAAATGTTGAAAATGTCCATGAGTTGTACTCCAAAGAGATACAGCAGTTCTATTTCATATACTATTTTGTTTTATCTTCAATCTCCAAAGAGAGAATCTAATGCATCAGCACCACAGGACCATTACGCATGCACCTCGCTCACTGTTATGCTAGATAGATCAGCTTCTCGTGTTGCCATATTGATATTCCTGAGGTAGATACCACATCACTTACATCCATGCTTTTGTTGTTTAACACACAGTAGACTATTACACGTGCACCTCTCATACTGTTATGTTAGATTTATATGCCATGTTTCCATATCCTGATATCCCTGAGGTAGATGCTATGATTGTTTAACAGACACTGGACCATTAGACATTCACCACTCATACTGTTATATGACATTTTTATATCCCATAATTCTGTGTCTCGATATCCCTGATGTGGATGCCACATTACCTATATCCATGCTTACACACTTGTACTCTGTTCAACTTATTAGATGTACATGTCTTTCGTATAGCTCATATCTCAGTTTCCATTTATTGTGCGTTGGTAGGTTTCTACAAACACATGCATCATCATCATCATCATGATTCTTTGCATGCATATTTTCCCTCGTTTTCCACACTTGTGGGCTATTTGCTGACAGACCTGGATTTGACAACCAAATCTGTGTCGTCTTCTTTCAGGATTTATTAATTCATGTGGTTATATTCCATTACAAACTTGCAACTCTACCTGCAAAAGAGAACCCAAACTACTTTTCTTTCCCAGGATATATTGTTAGCTTTTTTAGGCCTGATAAGGCCGATCCCGAATGATATGAGCAGAGAATGTTTTAATGTGCGTATGGTACATATGTATATGGACCTGCTAAAATATGGCGAATGATATGAGCAGAGAATGTTTTAATGTGCGTATGGTACATATGTATATGGACCTGCTAAAATATGATTTTTATTTATTATTTATTATTTTCACCCGACCTGCTAAAATATGATTTTTATTTATTATTTATTATTTTCACCCTAGGATCTTCCTACAGAAGATATGTGTGTCGGCCCAAGGGAAATGGGTTATCTCTTTGGACATTATAGACGCCTCACCGGTCATTTTCAGGTACTAATGGCATTCATTATTGACAAAATGCATATTGCTTCTTTTGTTATGCTATAGTTTGTACTTTGTATCAAATGGAAAAATGTCTTCTTAGTTCTTAGGTAATAGGTATTACGTTTGTATTGTCCCTTGCTAGCTTCTGCCTGGTCAGACTTTATTATTTTTTGGAAAATGCTAACCATGCTACTTTTCTTAGAATTCTTGTGCTCAAGTGAGTGATACAAGGTGTGAGGCCTCTTTACTTTGTCATGAAATGGATGATGAGATAAGAGGTCTAACTTACCATTCTAAGTACAATTACCAAAATTTCACTGTTCAACCTACATAAATGGTGGCATTTTAATTTTCTATTAAGAGCTGGCTGCGTGTTGACAGGTAATTTAGCTAATATCTTATAGCTTTATTTCCAGATTCGAAAGCACCTGCTTTTTTGGTTCCTATAGTTATTTGTATTATTTCCAGTTGGTTGTACTTGCAGTTTTCATTTTTATGCTTATGCAGGGAAGTTTTACAGGACCGAAGATATTCTGGTCAGGTTCCAGTCTTCGAACTGAAGCTACTGGCTACGGACTGGTATCTTATTAAATCTTCTTTTTTAATATTGCAAGTATCATATAGTTTCATTGTATTTGACAACTTCACTGTTTTAGAGCAAAGACGATATTATATTGTTCTATACACATATATTTTAAATTTTCAAGAGAAAAGCTTGAAAAGACACTATTATATTGTTATTGTCGCTTCTTGACTTATATTCTACTTGCAATGTAATGTTATATCCGTATCTTGCTTGCATTATCTGTGATGCCATTTTCTTCGCAGGTTTTCTTTGCACGCCTTGCTGAGATGAATAAAGAGCTCAAAGGATTAAGGTCTTTTCTCAATCTTTTAAATAAAGAAGAGAGATCAATAATCCTATTATTATGCTGCAATTATAAGCTCTACAACTGCACCATGTCTTATGAGTTATGGCTATATCCACATCAACTCACAGTCTTTTGCTAATGACACTTGTCTTTTAAATAAAGAATTCTTACATAAAATTATTTTGCTCATAACATGCTTGCTCATAAGGTGCTTGAAGTGTATATCACATTGATTTGCAACATAGCTAAAACAACCTCAATGATTTTGCTAACTGTGCTGGTGTCCTTTTAAAAATGCGACATCATATCCTGATGATATCATTCACGAGTGCTACTCACTATTATATGGTTGTCTCTGTTGTAACATTGATTTTGCTAACTGTGTATATCACTATTATACTTGGAATGAAAGTTGCGATATTGCATTTCTATGTGCTTCACAGAATGAAATCGACCACTCTGATGCCCTTGCTTTGGTGAACTCTGGTTGCCGTATAATAATGGAAGATATGGGAGGAACTGGTGAAATCTATTGAAATTTGATTTAGCTTTGGTAACTATCTACTTTCATCCATTTCATCCGCTGTTGATTAAATAATCCCTTTCAAAAAGCAGGTTCAAGTATACCATGTGCACCACAAGCAATAGATGTACTAAGGAAAGCTAAGACTTTGGTTGCTCCAGCAAAAAGCAGTTTCAAATATGCCATGTACACCAAAAGTTGTTTTTCCTTTTTTTTTAAAAATTTATCTAACTGCCCTAACGGTTACATTAGCCCCAACGGTTGTAACCGTTGGGGCTAATATATGCCCCAACGTTCCAACCGTTAGGGCAAACTATTTGCCCCAACGGTTGGAACCGTTGGGGCAAGTTTGGCAACCTTGGGGCTGATTTAGCCCCAACGCGACTTGCCGCAACGGTCGTTATTTTTGCCCCAACGGTCCTAACCGTTGGGGTCATGATTTGCCCCAACGGTTACAACCGTTGGGGCAACTCATGTTTGTACTAGTGCATATGCAATTTTTTATTGTCATGCAATCTTATGGATGCTATTTCTAAGTATGGTGTTATTTCTATGTCTTGAGTTGTTTTTTCTTAGGACTTCATTAAATTTGCATCCTGCTAAATATATATTCAGGATATATGTGTAATCTGCTTGTATGTTCAACTTTTCCAAGAGCCCAGAATGTTACTATGGATATGAACAGCAAATCAAAAAACCAATTTTGGAATTTATGCAATCATTAGTGTCATTTTGGAATTCACATCCCAGGTCCTGCTACTTTGAATCTTCAAATCCAGAAGCTTCTCCATTTTCTACTTAAAGTGAATCTATATTATTCCAATAGCTTTCATGCGAGTTACTCCTTTTCTTATGTAGCTTTGTCTCACCAGGTGCTATTGTTTCTCTTGTCCAAATCCTTTTACGATCATATCCAGTTCTTATGTAGCTTTGTCTCACCAGGTGCTATTGTTTCTCTTGTCCAAATCCTTTTACGATCATATCCAGTTTGCTTTTCTCATAAGCAGTCTCGGGCTTTTCTAATGTCAATGTTATGGGTTTTTTTTTCGCAGGTCAAGCGTGATATTGTGCTGAGAGTGCTTGTGCTTTGGTCTCACCTTTTTCGGTTCTCATTGTCATTTGATATAGGAGAGTGCTTGTGCTTTGGTCTCACCTTTTTCGGTTCTCATTGTCATTTGATATAGCTTGCTGCTTTGTCAAATGATTGTAGCTAATATGTAAGGGTTAATTGCATATACTCTCTATGGTATCGTTTTTAAATTGCAACCCCTGCAGTGTACACTTTTGCAGATGTGCCCTTGGGTTAAAATTGTTACTGTTTTAAAATTGTGGTGTTTGCTTCTATGGTGAATGATTGTGGCTTATAGTATACTCCAATATATTGGCATTTGATGGTTTGTGGTTTTGTACATTTGTTCTTTTATTGGATGTCTTTGTGAAAGATACTAGTGGAGAGTATATCAAAGTGATGTCCAAGTACATTAACGAAAAAATTAAAAGATACTTATTATATGAAGTGTTTTATCTGTTTGCTGGGGCCTTGCAAAGTATCAAAGATGAGTTTAGCTATCAACTTACCTAAATTTGTGTTTTTTGGTTACTATTTTACACATCTCCATTGCATTTGATGTAAACAAGATGAGTTAAGAGAATAAATTTTCATTAATTTTAAATTCAAATTCGTGTATAATAAAGTACCCAAACACTAGATTTTAAAATAAAAGATTTCAAATCCTTTCATTTAATAAAGATATCCAAACAAAAGATTTCTTAAATCATGGATTTCAAATCCTAAATTTAAAATCCCTTGATTTTAAATTAAAGTTCTCAAATCCAAATCAAAGTTCCCAAACGCTTATGATTTACATCACAAACGGATAAATCCAGATAATTTGTCAAACTGATCGGGTATGAACTTCACGTACATGTTCGACACAAACCGGCCCGATTTTTCCATTGATTTTAAGAGGGTGTTCTGTGAAAATATTTCTTTGTTTTATGTAAATTGTAGAAGGATTCTGAATTCGGCATTTTTTACATCGCTTCAACTTCTTTTCATTTTTTTTTTAAATCTTGCATCCTAAAACAATGTAAAGGGAGAAAAACTGAGCAATGACCCACAGTTTGACGCATTTCCCTTAGTTTTCAAAGAAAAAAAAAACACAACTAAACATAATCTAAAGTTGACGAGCTGATCTTCGTTATGAATAATGTGAGCGGTTGAGAGTTTTCAATATGACATCCACGATCCTGGTTTTGATTCTGGGAGCTTTGTGACTATCCTTTTCTCATTTTCCCCTTAATAAATGTATGCCTTGAAAATTAGATACATATTACTGTTGAAAATATTAAGTGTAAAAATAAATCTATACCATTTTATATTTTTCAGTGTGTACGTCTTTGTGTACACGTCTACACACATACATATAACCCAGTTTGCCCAAAAATCCAATATAATGAATTAAAGGAAAATAACATGCAATCAAAATGAGTTTCAATTACGTTTGCAGGTAGTTGTTTCCTGAAAATTTTTCCCATGAAAAAACAAAATCAATATGACTAAAACATAAAAAAATGGTATGCTTATCCATAGTATCTAACTTTTATCTCTATGTTAGATCAAAAACACCAAAAAAAAAAAATTAGTTTCTGATAAATTTCTCCTCATAATTTCTTTTCTAGTTCATTACTTTAACGACATAGATCACAATTCTTCTTGCCTTAAACATTTGCATATTAGCCACCCCAACATCTCAGCTGTGATAAGCAAAAGTGGAAATCTTTGCTTTTATATCTTTGTTTTCATTGTCTATGTATTCTGCTACGGATAATGCTGAATATATCGCTATAATTTTATACAAATATGTGGTTTTTTATGTGCATGAAAATGCTGAAAATAAGTTGCTACCAATAAACTACAAAATTGTTGGAGTACGGATACGATGAGATTGTACATTGTACAGACTATAGTCATGTAACTCTACCATGCTTATTTCATTCAATTTTCATAAATCAGACTATAGGACAGAAAACGAAAACTAAAATAAGAAACGTGTCATAAAATAGAATTTTGGCTGAGATTTTGTTCGGGACCCTTGTGAAATTGATGGCACAACCCTTGAAACTCTATCAAAAGTTTCATGGGGTTTTTTTATAGTGATTTTGAAAGTTGGAGGTATTCTGAACGTAGGTTGAAATTTTGAGGATTCTGTGCAAAATAGAATTGAAATTAGGGTGATATGTTAGAAAAAAACATGGGAAGCTTCACAAATAATAGGGGCCAAAAGTTTTGGTGGTTAAGTGAGTTTTTAAAAATTTTGGTGGTTTACCTCAAGAGCGTGCTAAATGAAACTTTGAATAACATGTTGTTTCACAATCTTTATACTTAAATATTATGTATAACTTATCTCTTTAAACGGTTAAACAATGGGTGAAATATTAGAAACACCCTTAACTTTGAATGACCATCGAATAAGCCCCCATGACTTTGAAAATGTCAGAAAGCCTTCATTAGATCTAGTTTAGAGGTATCAGAAAACCCTTGATATAATCTCAAGATAAATGGGCTTTTCTGATAAAACCTAAAGGTTAAAGGGAGTTTTTCTTTAAATCGTTCAAAGTTAAGGGGGATTTTATGATATTTAACCTTTAAACTTAAAAATAAGTACATACTTCAGTTTCTTTTATTTTTTTTTATTTTTAAAGGCAGATTCAACACGTTTTTGCAATTGTTCAGTAATGATTATGATTCTTCATGATGATAGTAGAAGAGAAACCTACTCCTTTTTTTGACATGAAAGTGAAAGCTTAAAATCACCGTTCATGCAAATAGTAAATATTATTCATGTTACAATATAATTCACAGTATTAAACGCCCTCTTCAAGCAATAATATAAATTTAAATCTTAAACGCTGTTCTTGCTACACTCAAAATTTGAAACTTTATCACACTGTTCATGATATAGTAAAACTTTAGCCCTTTGTTCGTTGTTCAAGCTAAAGCGAAAATTTTGGCTACTGAAAAACGCCGTGGCATGAACAATGTGATTAAATTTAGTTAATCGGTATATTATTTTAATCACATTGTTCACGCAATAATAAAATACTATTCATATATATAAATCTTTTATGACCTTATTAAAGAAAATGATAGAACTTAGTATTTAGTATATTATTTATTAACTAATTTGAATATTCACTCTGTAAATGGTAGTAAAAAAAATTATAGCTAAAGTTTGGGAAAAATGTTTCAAGGCCCCAAAACAAAAAACCGGATGTGACCCAGCCCCCCATATTATTTCCCTTATGTTTCAGCCCTTTCACATTCTCCCAGAAATTTTTTTCCCGAAATTACCCTTCCCCTCTTCTTCTTCTTCTTCTTCTCCTCTGCCTCCTCTCCCCTCTCTTCTTCTTCTTCTTCTTCTTCTTCTCCTCCTCCTCCTCTTCTTCTTCTCCAGACCCTTGCCCACACCCCCCACCCGTCCTCCCTACCCCCTCCCCGGGCCCCCTCCCCGACCTCCCCCGCCTCCTCCGTCAATAAGCAGCGAACAGCAGCAGTTGGGGTGGGTGAGGATCTCCTTGGCGATGGCGGGGTCGATGGAGATGACGGCGGGGATGGAGCCCACGGAGAAGGCGAGGAGCTGGGTGGATTTGTGGGTGCGGGCGAGTCGGGCAAGGGTGCGGTGTGGTTGGCCACGGGTGAGGGAGATGAGAGAGCCTAGCACAGGGAGGCCTCTTGGTCCGCGGAGCTGGGTTTGTCCTATTTGGGTGCGGTTGTTCTCGGCCTCGACCTCAGCTGCTCCGCCGGCGCCGCCTTCAGTCCCCACTTCCTGTTCCTATTCTTGTAAGCCAGCGCCAGGCACATGGACGTGAACAGCAGCAGCGGCCCCGTGGTCACCGGCCTTGACAGGTGGTGCAGGCACGTGCTGCTCACGCGCCTGGCCTAGTGGAGCACTGGTTTTACTTAGGGTTGTCCGTGCTTGTTGTTGTCTGGAGGGTTCATTTTGTTTTGAGTGTTTGTTTAATGGTGGATTGAGATGAGAGGGGGTCTGGTGATATGACGTTGATGATGATATTATTTGTTTCTTGTAAAAGTGAAAGGAGGGAAGGGATACATGGAGACATGTATGTGATAGGGTTTGATGTGGTTGCAAGGAATGCATCTAGTTCTTTCAGGTGTAATAGAGAAGTTTTTCGATATTGTAGGTAGTAGAATCACTGCTTGCTTCATTTTTTATCTTCTTAATTTGGATGAGGAACTAACTATTGTAGTGTAGAACCAGTTTCTTAATTTGGATGAGGACGTTGTTAAGCATTATAGCTTAGCTGGGCATAGTGTGCATTGAACCGATGACTAAAGTAATTAATTCCATGGATCATATGAAACCTGGATTTGATCCCCAAAATATTTTGAGAAAGTACAGATATGAAGTCGTCCCTTGCGAGCAACAGTCTGGAATGCTAGTATTTGAAAATTTTAATCTTTTTATTTTATCCAATATCAAATATCTAACTAACTTGCTACTTGATTGACTGAACCAAAACTTGTGTGCATGTCTATATTGTTTATATTAATTTAGTTGTGTAAACGGTTGATGTGGATGACAAACAATGCAGCAAGCTTGACCTCTATTATTAAAGTTTACATGTAACAGTGAAAGTTAACATATTATGATGAAAGTTAACATGTTCAGCTGAAAATTAACATGTTATGAGGAGAGTTAACATATAATGATGAAAGTTAACATGTAAAAGTTAAACTTAACATAGTCGAATGAAAATTAACATCTTCAGATTAAAGTTAACATGTTATGAAGAAAGTTGACATGTTCACGTGAAAGATAACTTATTCAGCTAAAAGATAACATAGCCAAATGAAAGGTAACATGTTTAGCAGAAAGTTATCCAGCTAAAAGAAATTATAAAACTGTTACATTCTTACATAAGAATGTAATATCACCTGCAATATCACCTTCATCCTCGGCAATATCACATGTGAGAATGTAAGAAGTAACAGTTTTATAAAACTTCATCTAAGAATGTAAGAATGTAACAATTTTATAAGTATGTAATATCACCTGCAATACTCACCAAAAAAAAATAACCTGCAATACCACATCCATCCCCG